TAATACGAGATTAAAAGAAATTATTTTTTTATATTTAAATAATTAAAATATTCCTCTGGTATAATTCAAAGATAAAAGGTTTAGTACTTTTGGTCAGGGATATCCACTGTACAGATTACTCATGTCAACATCAAATAATTGTTTGTGCTTTTACTTCCAAATCAAAACAAAACACTCGGTATTCTGCATTAATGAGATTCTGACCATGCAATAATACACTGTTTTACTTTTGAAATTTCCGCCAGCTTATACATATATATAAGCAATATGTGTATGCATTCGTGTATATGTAAATAGAAAACATCTAATCAATAATAACAACCTATTTTTTAAAATTATTTTTTTCTGATTTTGAATCTATCTAAAAATTAAAACTTTTTATTTTATTAATCTAAAAAATTTAATTTACCAAGTTAGATTTATAATGTTTATATTCATAATCGTTATACAAGACACAACTTATAACTTTATTTACTGTTCAATTACTAAAAAATGATTGTATAAAAGTCCTTCAAACTTTATTCAAAATGTATAGATTTTTGTTCTGTAAAATAAATGCAGTGTACAAATTCTAAAATTAACCCTGTCAATTGAACTTAATATTCCATATGGATGTGAGTTCCTTCCTCCAATTTAGTGGTAGTAAAATTTTTGCTAGTTTAAGTTTTATTATTAAAACATATTATAAAAGAGAAAATATTTCAATTAATTTCAACTTGGTTTTTAGGACAAATTATTTTTCAATTTTTAGTCTTAATTATTTAGTCTGATTTGCTTCTGTTAGAGAAATTAATCCCTAAACTGCGCACAATCACGATAAAGTAAAAACAGAAAAAGAATAATATAATATTTAACGTGATTCGACAATATATCTACATTAACGGGCAAAACCAATAATTTTTTTTTAATTATAATCAAAAGAGAGTAGTACACCACTAATAGGGTCACACGTCCTTAACTAGAAAGACTACGAGAGTTTTTCTTCTACAAATTTTCTCATGATATACATAAAATATTTTTCAATATAAATATAAAATATCTTCAAGTTATATATAAATATCTACTAAGATAAATATAAATTATTTTCTATAATATAAATAAGATATTCCCAAAATTCAAACGACATCAATAAATTTTCTAATTGGCTTGAATTCTCTTTATTGTCAATTAGCAAATCAACAGTCTTTGCACAAGACAAAGCATATGCAACTAGATTCTCATACTTTTATGGTGGTCTGATTTGTCTTCTCCTCTTACCGGTTGCAATATTATATAATTGTTGTTGATCATGTACACTACCACATTCTTCATTAAAAACTTGCACTTCATTTTTTGGATTATTGGACTGAACTTCTATCTCTACTTGTTTTCTAATACTGTGATATGAATATGCTATTGTCTTTTCCTTCTTATTGTTTTGTGAAGCAAACTCATTAAATATCATATTTCTACTGATAATCAATCTTGGAGACTTCGAATCACATTACCATAACTTGTAACATTTTTATCCAAATGCATACCCTAGAAATATATACTTCAGTACCCTCGACTCAAGCTTACCATCTCTCACGTGAGTATAAGCAGGACAACCAAATATTTTCAACTGAGAGTAATCAATAGATGAACCAAACCGTACCTTAAAAGTAGTTTTGCACTCAATAGTTGTGAACAGAGAGATCTATTAACTAAGTAACATACAATGTTCATAGCCTCAGTCCAAAATTCATGTCCCAAATATGAATGAGACAACATACTCTGTGTTCTATCATAAAGCATCATATTCACGTATTCTGTAATATCATTCTACTGCGGTGTCCCAATATAAGTGTGGTGTCTCACTATATTATGTCTTATATACTATAGAAATCATCAAACATATGATTGCAAAATTTTAATCCATTGTCAATTTTAAGACACATGATATTTCTTTATGTTTGTTTCTCAATAATGGTTTTCTATTTGATAAATGTTGAAAATGACTTCTCCTTATACTTCAGAAAATACACCTAAATCTTTTAAAAGTAATCATCAACCAAAGTCATAAAATACCTGTCACCACTTATGGAGGGAATTTTGTATGGACCCCACAACTTAGAATGAAAATAATTTAACTTACCTATGGTCTTATAATTGCTTTTTTGTTGAACTTCACTCGGGTCTGCTTGTTAAACACAGTGCTCACAAAAACTCATGGTTCCTCCTTTATACCCTCTCAATAAACTATGTCTGCTTAAAACAGATAACCCCTTATCACTCATATGATCCAGACGTAGATGCTACAACTGATTATGATTACTGCTCCTTGATGATACATCAGCTTCCCTTGAAACTGCACTCCCCTAGACAATATATAATCTAGATTCCAAACTATTTTTCGTGAGCACTTTAGAGTCTTTATACACTTTGAGGACACATTTCTCTATATGGTAACTATAACCCTGAGACATCAGTGTAGAAAGAGAAATTATATTCTTCTTCATATGAGAAACATGTTAACACTCAATAATTCTAACAACATTATTTGATATTCTTAATTTGATAGTACCAATCCCAATTACAATTAACAGAATATCATCTTCTGTGTACACATTATCACTCATCTATCTGTAGGTAACAAATCAATGTTTATGTGGACATATATGGAACATAACACCAAAATAAAAAATCAAAAAAATTCTTTCTATGATCTAAACCATAGATAAAACTTCTTCAGTTATACTGCTATCACTATCATCAGAGTTATTTCTGTTGCCTATATTAGCATAACTCTCCTAATTCTTTTATTTTTTTTAGCCTAAAACAATTTCTAATAAAGTAACCCTGCTTCCTGCACTCAAAACAATTTTTTTTTACCTCTATATTTTGATTTGACATTTATCTATGCTATTTCCCTGCTTACCAAACATTTTCATTCTATTCTATACTCCTGAAAGTTCTTTTTCAACTCTTTTGATTTTTGTACATTACTAATATCATCCAATTAAATATTAATCTTCCCACACAGTAGATTATCAACAAAAGTAACATAAGAACATGGTAGTGCATACAATACAATCAATGTTTGATACTCATTATCAATCTTAATATCTATATTACTTAAGTTCATAATTATTGAATTAAATTTATCAAGATGTTGTTTAATGAGCGTGCATTCACTTATTCTCATATTGTACAATATTTTATTCAAGTAAAGATGGTTTGTTAGTGATTTTACAGAGTATAACTCTTTTAATTTCTTCTATATAGCTGAAGTTGAAATCTCTCCAGTAATTTTTTGCAGAACATTATCAGTCACACTCATGAATATTGTACATAAGGTTCTATTTTGTATATTTGCATTATTTGACTCTCTCATACCCTCAGAAAACTATTCTTCAATTGCCCCCCATAAATCTTGTAATATTATGAATGAGCTAATATTATGAATGAACTCATTCTAATTTTTTACAAACTGAAACTCATTCCACCATCAAATTTTTTTATCTTATATTTTGTGTATGTCATATCGAATCCCTATACTATGCACCAAAAAATAAATAAAGAGAAATACCACTGTCAGAAGCAAAGAACCATTCACAGCGAAATACTACTGCATAAAAAGTCACTATGTGCAACCACGAGAGCACCCCATGAGCCATCATGCATCAATGAATATGTTGTCACCGAAAATCCACACATCACTGCTGATCACCACGCGCCATTGTAAAACTACTATGAATCACGACAAGACCTTGCTCACGCTCAGATTTGGGATGGATTTGGTGAAATCACGACAAAAAGTTCCAGAAAACGCCCCAGATCGAGCTTTATGCAATCTAGCCACCACCTCGCTAGTTCGTCTTCTCCAGCCACTCGTGTCTCCTTTCTTCGACTTTTTGGTCGTGCACCTACACAGATCTCGTCGAAAAACAATTTACGCACCAATTTGACTCCTTATGCAGCCTTCGCACATCGATAGTTTGCAGATTACGTAAGGCCATGCATATTCTCCGGTTGTCTGTTAAGATCTTGACCTCTCATGGCGCTGATTCGTCTTCTACATGCTGCCAAGCCGCACTCCTCTCATTCAAGCTGCACGTGGATCTGTATTTTTAAATGAATCTGGTTCTTAGATTAGTTGAACCCATTACCCTTTTTTGTCAACCGCCGATGCACCAGAGATTGTTCAACTGCACAGATCCAACGATGACCTTTTAGCTTCTTATGGGTTTGTTTTCTGGTTCTCTCTCACTAGCCTGAGCTCTGATACCACTCGTTAAGAAAATCAATCTTAAACCACGTATAATCACAACAAAGTAAAAATATAAAAAGAATAACATAAGATTTAATATGATTCGATAATGTACCTACATCCATAAACAAGATCGACAAGAAAGTTTTTCACTATGATTAAAAAAGAGTATATCATTAATAGGGTCACACACTCTTAACTAGAGAGATTAAGAGATTTTTTCTCACACAAATTTTACAGGATATACATAAATATTTTTTACGATAAATATAAAATATTTCCAAGATACACATAAATATCTACTAGAATAAACATAAATTATGCCCTAAAATAAAGATAAGATATCCTCCAAATTCAAACCACATCAACATATTCCTAACCATTGGACACCTATAATTATAATATATTTAAATTTTATAAAATTAAATTAATTATTTCTTGATTAAAAAGTTAGAAGGCATAACCTGTTTGGTAAAAGTATAGATCATGAGTTATGGAAGTATACATCTATGGAAGTATAGATGAAGTATTAATGATAAGTATAAAAATTTTCAATAAAAAAATTATTACAAATTAGAGAAGTTGATATTTGAAGAGTAAAAACATATACAGTTATAGTGCCATAAAGTACTTATTTAAATTTCGTTTATCGCATGTATGACATAATATATATGTATGTATATGTATTGTAAACGTAATGTTTATTAAGAAATAGTTATTAAATAAATTTCGAAAAAATTTCCGTAACCTTTAAGAAAAAATAAAGGGGTGCTTGTCACGATCCATTTGAAAGGAAAAAGAGTCAATTGTGATCCGGTTATGTTCATACTGCTCGTCTTTTTCTTCGTTATCTCTGTCCATCTTCCAGATTTCTTTACAATCTATACTGTTACTCAAACTAGATACTTATGTGTGCGTATATATATATATATATATATATATATGTAAATATAAGAATTCATGTCAGTGTGTATATGTTAATGATAGGAAAAAGATAACAATGGAGAGAGCAAGCTCGTCTAGACAACATCGAAATATACAAGAAAGAAATAGGAGACTGCGAATGAGAGAACTCTGCAGCACCCTTGTTTCTCTCCTTCCTCCTCAACCCACCAGGGTTCTCTCTCTCTCTCTCTCTCTCTCTCTATATATATATATATATATATATGTAGGATTAGTTTCATGATGCATGTGTTAGTAACATTTTATATATGTTTATGGGTATAAATATATATGTAGGTGACAGTGTACGAGTTGATAGGTGAAGCAGCTAATTACATAAACCAATTGAAGGAAAGAATTAAAGCAGCAAATGACGAGAGGAATCAAGTATTGAAGTTATTAGGAGGAGGCAATGGTGATCGTACGGGCGAGGAAATTAGAGCGGTGGTGAAGTTAACGAGTCGGAATCAGTGTTCTCTGGAAGTGAATATAATTAGTGGTACCAACAAGACGTTCATGTTACATGAAGTTATCAGTATTCTCCAGGAAGAAGGTGCTCAAGTCTCAAATATTGCTCTCCACAATATTGTAGGACACAGAACCATATATGTCATACACTCCCAGGTATATATATATATATATATATTGCTAGCTTGTCGAATAACATGTGTGTGTGTATACACTAAATCTTCGTCGTATTAATTACATATACGTATGGACGTTCATCTTGGTTTATCTAATCCTTTCCTCCCTCTCACTCGGTCGACGAAGCAGAATGGATAAATTTAAAGGATTCAGAAAAAATACTTCTCCAAAACGGTGACTTTTCAAGAAGATTATGTGAAGGGAATGGGGTGGCCTGGGCTGGGTCTGTTCCGTCCTCCCTGGGGCCTCATGGTTTTTGATTTAAAACAAAACTTTTATTTGAGTTTGATCTGGAAGGCTGAGTTTTTGGAGAAATTAGATTTAGGATTTTAATTTGGGGTTTTCCCAAAAATTTTTCTTTTTCTTTTACCTAAACTAATTTGAGGTTTTAAATAAAATCAAAGTATGGATTATCAAAATATTTATTTATTACCCATTGCACGTATGTGTGTATATATATTTAAAACGTAATTATTTAAACAATTTATATTTTGGTCTTTTATTTTTGCTGTTTTTTCTTTTTCTATATTTTTTTGTTAATAATATAACAAAACGCGATTAATTAAATTTTCAGAGAAAATTAAATTATGAAAGTAATACTTTGCAGGCAATTAACTCCCGAATCGGCTTGGAGACATCAAGAATAGAAGAGAGGCTATTGGACCTCCTGTGTTGAGTTCAATGGAGATCTTGCTCATCTGAATATACGTCTATATGTTTATGGAAGCTGTAGTGCATGCGTCTGATATATGGCGAATCAACCTCATATGTTCTCAAATAATATTATAATGGTTCTTATGGCTTGTCTTGATTTACCATTATTAATTTACAGGTCATGATCTTAATCATATTTATATATATGTACGTATGTGTGTGGAAGTAAGTTGTATCTTCAAGCTGCATCAATTTAAAAAAATTGTGAATATTCACGTAAACTATTTATTTCTGTTTGCATGGCTCTCAAATATCAATCACCTGACGTAAATGCATGGGACGAAACAACCAAGATTCATCAAAGGTTAATTAAATGGGATGATAATAAAGATGATGGGAGTAATATATTCAAAATTTCATATATTTCATTGATCAAGTGAGATATTCAAATTAATGATAATACAATCGCTTAATAAGTAAAAGAAAAACATAATCCAATTTAAAATCATAACATTTTATGTTCTTGATTTTAAAGAGCATTCCAAAGAGGCTAAGCTTTTTACTGATGAACTCTCTTCTCCATCTTTTCTTGGATCTTCTGCTCTCTTCTTCCTGCTTGACCCGAAGCATGCTTTCACTTCCTCAATCCAAAACAAGAAAACACAGAAACCAAAAGGTTCTTTCCAATTCTCTCACCTCTGTATCCTTCTTCAACTGTTCTCTATAGTGCAGCCTTGATTCAGAAAAATTTAATTGAAGTAATCTTCAAAAGAAATTTACAGAAAGTATACGTATATATATACATGTTTATAGCTTGTAAAATGGTTGATCCAATAACACGATGTCCTTAATTTCTTACACCTTAAGATTGAAGAAAGAGATGAAGCTGAGGCAAAAACAAAGGCGCTACAACTTGTCACTCAATTTCTGAGTGGTTAGTCTTTGCTTGAGGAAAAGAAAATTTGACAGCTATATGATGGAGTAGTCAGTTTATAAAATTGAATAAAAGATAAATAAAATATGAAGTTGTGAACTAATTTTCATTACTGACAAAAACATATTTCATTTTCAAATTGACTTTGACTGGATAACAACACTGTTTTCTTTGTTGGGCTAAAAGCCACGTGAAAAAAACTTGCACAATAAAAAAGAAATTCAATCCAATGAGTACATGAAATTCTTTTTATCCAAATATATAAGACTTATTAAGTTGTCCTTTCAACAGAAATATATATGAAATATTAATTTAAAATAATTTCTCATCAACTTAGAGCTAAATTAGTGCCAAAATTTCTGATAAATATATAAAAAATCAAATCAAGATGGTAGCTGATAACTGCTATTATCAGCCAATTTATCTTGAGAAAGATGGCTCTTTTTCTAGTTCAGGAGAATATTGGGAAGAACAACCATGGGAAAGTTATGACTTAGATAATTTTATCAAAATCAAGCTTTCAAAATGAAGGTCTGTGTCTTATTCAGTGTAAACTAAAAAAAATGGAAATAACCCAGTTGATTAATGAAATCAGTTTGGTTAAACAGTTTATTTTCAAATTTCTAATTTAAAATTAAAGTTAATAGAACATAGATAGTTTACTTCGATTGATCTGAAAAATAAAATAAAAAGAGAAAATGGGATATAGATTAATTATATATATATATATGTAACGGTTCCGGAAATTTAAAATGGAATGTATATTAAAAATATCAAATGCGGAAGCGAAGTCAAAATTCGATTAACATCCTTTACACTAAAACCAAAAACGTGCTCAAAATATAAAAGATCAAACTAACTAAAAGAGAAATTCGAAAGTAAATTATGAATATGACTTTGGAGTCTTTAGGCGTCCCCTTCGTCGTCTTCTTGCGGAACGGGCTCGGGAACAATGTCTTTCCGATCTGAAATGATTAAATAAGGAATGAGCTACACTAGCCCAGTAAGGACATCACGATATCTCACCGTCACGGAGATAAAGGTGGGTAGAAAACACAAAAAGACCAATAGAGCATAATTTACAATAAACTCATTTATCAGTAATAAAACCTTTTACCATTCACTTACCTCGGTGAAATTCATAAAACAATATACGAAAGCAATAATATTATCATCATCATGAAATCATATAAATTGTGTAACATAATACTTATCACGCCTTTGCAATTCAATCATTTCACAATTATCTTTCCTCATTCACCAGCCTT